ATAGTAGAGGAACCAGGTGGAAATGATCGGCAATAATCAGCCGCAGAACCAATTAGACAGGGGAGCAAAGGAAAAAACCAAACCATCAGCGCCGAGATCATGACACTTTACCCTTTTTCAAGTCAGGGGACTCCAAGCATTTAAACTACATTCTGCTTCGATTGTTTGTGCTTCATTTTAACCATCAGGAAAAACTAGTGCTACTAAAAACCTTGGAATTGCATTGGTTCAGATGTATTGCATATGTGAGCTTAATTTTTCAATCAAAAGGTTTATAAAGCTTAACTGAGAGAAAACATATGGAAGGACAGAAAACAGAGCAATAAAAGATGAACAAGGCTGTAAACTTGTTACGGTGTTTAGACAAATGGAAATAAAAGACTTGAATAAAACAGTTATTCTAAATCAGTGTCCTGGTTTGTCTTCTCAACAGCAAATAATAACATGATCCTTGTTGCTGCTGCTGTTGGTGTAGCTGTGGTTCTCCTTGGTATCATTGCTGTGATTGGAGTCATTCTTTACATCAAGAAAAAGAAAGGTGGGTGATGAATATTTGATTATACCTTTAGTCTAGTTGTGGAGAAATGGAACAGATAATAAATGTAAACTTAATAAAAACTACGACTGTGTTATCATATCAAAGGTCCAGTAGCAGGCAGCTTCCTTTTGTTAAAAAAAGAACAAAACTAGTAAACAGTGACAGTGGACATGATAAAATAAATCTCAGAAGAAAACTGAACTTCTTATAGTTTATGTAAGATAGGGAAAGGTTTTGAGCAGGATATTTGTTACGAAATATAACAGAAATGTACAGTCAGAATAATTAATAGGAGCTGTTTGATTTTAAACAAACTGTTAAAAATGTTTTTCAATTTTACGTATATACTGATATCAGGTCTATATTAAGTGTAACAAATTACCAGATAATTTATTTGTATAATTTGAAAACACTGAAGTGCCAAAACTGCAGTCAGTATTTAGTACATTTGATCGTCTTTTTATCTTTTTGGTCTCATGTTTTATTGTTCCCTGTAATCTTTTAGGACTATTTCTATGATTCATGTGTGTCTTTGTTAAATCCTAATAATGCCTGACTGTTATGTGTTAAGGTTAATGTTTTTCTGAGCAGTTTATATTATTATCTTTGCATAAAGCTTTGGTAAAGTTTCAATCAAGACGGTTTGTAACATTTTTTTCGAGCACATGAGAACGCAGAAGTACACATATTGAGAAACAGCCTGTGCATTAATTTAGAGTTTTTCACAGTTCAGCTGTCTGATGGCAGTGGGGAAAAAAGCTGTTGCAGAATCTGCTGGACCTGCATCGGATGCTTTGAAGCCTCCTCCTAGAGGGAGAACAGTCCATGGTGGGGGTGTGAGGTGTCGCTGATAATGTTAACGGCTCGAGACACGCAGCGCTGGGATGAAATGTCTTTAATGGAGGGAAGAGGAGCCCCGATGATCCTCTCTGCACTTCTCACCACTTTTCTCACCTTTCAGTTGAGGCACTGCAGCCTCCATACCACACAGTGAGACAGCTGGTCAGAACGCTCTCTATGATGCTTCTGTAGAAGCATCATAGAAAACGCTTTTATGCCCTGACCAGTGAGGTGGTGTTTATACTCAATTACACTGTGATAGTCAGATGGATTTATGTGTCTGGGCTCAGAAACATAAATCATCTACACCTGTAACGAAGGAGCATTAGTTTAAGCTACCACTGAGCTCTTTACTTTGCTAATATGACCACCAAAAACAAAAGTATGGAAACAAAGATGTAACGAAGATTCATAACTGAAAAGAATTACATCAACAGACTTGACTGAAGAAAAAAAAAATTAAAGGGCTGGGAAAAAAAAGAATAGCAAAAGTTGAGGATGAGTTGACAAGTAGGGGTTTGTTTACAAAACAGGCAGTTTCTTCTGCTACTGCAGCGTTCCGAGCAAATTAGACAGCTCTGTGCTTGCTAAAATTGTTTCATCTTATTGAACGCTTGGTGCATGTCTACACACGTCATGATTTGAGTATTTAATTTAGACTGCATATAAACATAGATTTTGAATTTCAGATCCACTAAGATTAAATTTTGCAGTTGTAAACGTAGCTACTTTCCTTTGAGGACTTTGCTCTGACTTTAATTCATATTTCATTTATTTCTATGGTCTAAGCCTGACCTTTACTCTTACCATTACAGCAAGTACCTAAACTAAACTCAATTTTCTCCACCATGAATCAAAAATAAATATGGATCCAGGCTCACGAATGAGAACCTTGATATGTGCTTGAGAATGGCTTTGTCTCCATTCAAACCCAGGTTTAAAGCCTTGCAGGTCAGCCCAAAGCCCACTGCTCTCATTAAGCCAGAAAAAACAAAAAAACAAAACAAACGGTCACTTCAGGTGTTTTATAAAATATGTGAATCAGGAAATTGTATATATACCCATCTGAAAGATTGTTATTATCTACTTAAAAAAAAAAAAAACACTTTAGATTTTTAAAATGGAAAAATCTTTTTATATATATATATATATATATATATATATATATATATATATATATATATATATATTTGCATAAAAACCTTTTTATTTCAGTGTTAAATTCTGTTTTAAGTAACAGATTATAATTAAAAATGTCTCCGGACATTTACTGGTTGAAGATTTTTAATTGGGTACCCCTGGTCTTAATGATGTAAAATCAGCGTTTATTTGTCCCGCTGAACAACCACTGAGTCCCAATTTAAGATCAGGATTAGATATTTATTTCACTATTATAAGTGGGAACCTAGATTAAATGTAATACTAGTATACAACTATAAGCTTTTATTAAATAAAACAAAACTGACAAAATTTACAATTTTTTTTGTTTTTACTGAATATAAATTTTTAACATACATTTTTGTTTTCTACATACAGACCTTTCCAAGACCTCAACATCATCTATGCTTAGTGACAAATCAGATGAAAGCAAGAAATCAGATGATAGCCGAGACCGCACCTCATCAGAAAAACCACTGCTACCTGGTAAAGTCCTGTTCTTACAGCTCATATTTCTACCTTGTGTCCATGACTCAAACATTCACTGAACATAGAAACGTATAAATAACATTTCTGTCTTTCTAACTGTCTCAACAGAAAAATGACAACAAATGGGACCTCTGGACAAAACAATCCAAATAATCTAAAAATCATCAGTTTTTTTCTAAGGTCTCAGCATCTTATTAAAGCATCAGATATTTGCCTTGAATTAATTTCTAATTTCTTTTAAAATATTTCTGTCAGCTACAGCTGCTGAAAGGGCTCAGTTTATTTTATTTTTCAAAATTTAACTAAACTTCATTATTTAAGAAAATCTTTTGGCAAAAATTTTTGAAAGATTTTGATGGTTTTCTTGCTATTGGAGCAGATTTATGGTTTAAAATGTTTGAGGTTTTAAAAAAACATAAAGCAAAATCTGCATCATGTGCAATTGGTAAGTGGTGTAAAATGCAGGCAGGAAGTGCATACATGGAACGCCATAACCAGGTAGCTGTCATAGTGTACAGGAACATCTGCCATGAGTATTGGCTGGAAGTCCCAAGGTCAAAATGGAAGACACTACGGTGGCCGGGAAGTGCAAGCCAACAATACAAAATCTGAAACACTTTTACAAATCTTGAAACAACTTTACATTTGAGAAAACAAATTTACAACAAACGAAACACTTTTACAAATCATAAAACAAATGTACATTTCAGAAAACACTTTTACAACTGACAAAATCCGACGGAAAGGGAGGGACTGTCTTCGAAGCTTACCCCGAAGGGATAACCGGAGCGTTCATGATGACTAATCGAGTTGCGTTTTGCCCGTTCTGCGGCACTCATATGAGCAGTTTAACGTGGTTTTGTTTTTCCTGTTGTTGGTCCTTGGAGATTTTAAATGGTACAGAACAGTCAGAAGAACCAGACATGCTGCAGCAGTGCATACATTATTTTAATGAGAGTCACTCGCTGTAATCGTAGACATAATGTCATGTTTACATGGTGTACACATCAGCTTGAGGTCTCTGAAAAGCAAACCAAATTATGCACCGGTGTCGTGCCAAGGTAGTTATCCCTGCGAAAATTTGTATCCCCTCGTCGGGAGCGCGCACGGAGTAGGAAGAACAACCAGAGTTAACTCCGCCTCAATTCCAACGTGCAGAACTTGAAATTTGAAAGGTTTTACGTGTATGAAAGTTGAGCTTCACTGTGTCACAGTGTCTACTCCTTCCTCTGAAAGCAAACAGATCCTTGTTCTTTTCCACACGTTCCTTAAAAAAATCTCTCATTGTTTCAGTGTCCAAATGTTCTCATCCCATTGAAAACTGTTGTAAAAACCATATACTTGTAATAAAAATGAAATAGAAAATGGAGTGCATGTGTAATCATTAAAGACTATATGCAGAAGGAAATAATTTTTTCCTGGTTGAAATTTAGTACTTAAATCTATATTTGTGTTTTATGTTAACTTACAATTTATCTATGTTGTACTATCCTTAATAAACAGTTTGTCTTCTAACATCAGCCGTTTTATTTCATCCCATATTGCCAGAATTGGCAATATAAGATTAAATAAAACCTGCTGTAATCTGTTCCCCCTGTCTAAATCAGACCAAAAAGGCCCCAGCTTTTTCATTTTTGACTTATAAGCATCTTTTATGATGACAACTAACCTCTGAAACTTTGGAGGTGATGGACCTATGTTTCTTCATTTACAAGGGGGAACAGGCTTTACCAGCTGAGATTTTTAGATGTAAAAGTGTCTTAATGATAGTTACTGAAGTAAAATGAAGCTGTCAGCACCTACTCACTGCATGCTTAAGTAATTGTAAAGTGTGGAGCCTGTAACGTAACCCTTTAGGGTAATAACAAATAGTTGCAAAAAAATTAAATTAAAGGTTTTGCTTATAACTTCCTTAATAAAAAAAATTATTTTATTACAAGATAGAAACGGAATAATAGAAACAACTTAACAAAACTATTGACATGCAAAGCACACGTAATCATCTTGGGGATCTGGGTTTCCAACACATGGAAGGTGGTACCATCTGAAGCAGTCGTCACACTGAATCTGTTAAAAATAGAGAAAATCAGCATAGAAAGTAGGGAATTCTTACAACCACCTGGCAATATTTTTAAATACCCAGATGTCTTCAGTGTCCGTGTTTTTCTCGCTACAAAAGTGACAGAGGTTGCTCAGGACATCTGTAGGACATACCAAAATATGCAATGAGCCTTAATGTTTTTTTGACAATATCACATCAAATAATACAATGTTAATGTTTCCAATAGTTAAAAGCAAGATACTAATCATGTAAGACAATCCAAAGGTAATTGGATACATACCTGTGTTGAGTAGGAGAGTGGTCGCAATTTTCATTCTGTGCTTCCTTTTTTGTTTTTTAGTTGTAAGAAAACAAATCTTTTCTTTTTTCTGGATTTTCTCAGCAAACTGTAAAAAGACATGAGATTTTTTTTTTTAGAAAAAGAAATTTTAAATGTCTTTACAGACAATATATTGTACATTTCTAATAGGCGAAGCAGCTTGAAACTAATCTAGATATTATAAGTTACATATATGAATCTTTTCAATTACACAGATATGTCTTTTTGTACATAACTATGTATTTTGCATATTTGGATGCCTGCCTTCAAGGTGAAGAGTCCACATGATGTGGCATCTGTCTGTTTGGGATGCATCACTGTGTCACAAGTCCACCTGGAGATGTTACATCCCATTTTTCGCATAAATGCCCTGTAAACACATTTAAAATTTTAATAATGCATGACTTTGCATTTGTGTTATGCAAATTTGAAAAATAATTATTTCAATATCCATCCTTTCAGTGGTCCAGGTTTTCTTTGTTTGTGTTTTCATGATACATTTCAGTTTGAAATAAACATTACAGTTTTTTTTTATGGGGTCGTAATAGTCCTATTGTACTGGACTTTTGGATCAACATTGTACAAGAACATAAAGCGTACATTTTTTATGTACCTTACTGCATTTAGAGAAAGGTTCATACATAAGTGTAAGAAACACATTGAAAAAATAAGCCTGCATTAATATTTAATCTCTGTAATGTAAATTGTGACATCCACAAAATTGGACAACATTAATCACAATAACATTTTTCAAATCAGGCTTTGTAAGAAAATATATTTTGACATTTCTTGTTTTTTCCTTGCCTTGTAGTAGCCCGACATGTCTGTATGTCCTGTTTACTCTCTCCTAGAGGATCCAGAAACACCGACCGCTTTTCTTGTGGGTAGATTACCTATGATTAATTGGATTCAATAAAAAAAATACCTGGAATCACTGACTTTTGATCAGTGTCCTCTTCACATTCACAAAATTACACTTATTGACATTTCTTAAAGGAATAATGAACATGGAAGGGTTAATTACCACTAACATCCAGTGATGATGCTTGTTGACAAGTCCCAGAAATAAACCATATTCCATTGGTTTTATCTAAAATGAATAATGTAACATGTTAGTAACTTGATTATAACAGTGATGAAACATTTACCCAATACATGAATTGAAAATCAAACCAAAACAAAGATAAAAAAATATATATTTTTACTAATCCAAATGATAAGTGCTAAATCCAGTTTAGTATTTATTTGAAAGAATTCGGAAGCCCTGGGTCAAGGCAGCAATTATCTAAAAAACGTGTGTTTGGATAAACAGATTGAGCCGTTTCTACTTCATTATTCAAATGATAAAGTTTTCCCATGTGATGTCAGCCTATGATTAATAATAATACAGGTCTTTATAACAAAGCTTCTGTAATTTGTTTAAGGTTTCATTTCTCAGTTGTGCTTTTATTTCTTTTGCTCTGTGTTGTGGTCAAAATGTATATTATTTTTTAAATCATTCTTTTTTATCTTCCTTCTAATCTATTTTTTGCATTATTGGTATTATGTACTCATTGCTATAGTTTGTTAGTTAATCATTCTGTTATGATTAGGTTTTATTTTCCATGGCTTCAGTTATCTAGAGTTCCTTTTTTATCCTCTAGTTTTTCACGTGGTCATTCCTTACTTTGTAGTCATTATTTTAATTCATATTTATCCTTATGTGAGTTACTTTCTAGCTTTAGTTGAACCCTGTTTTCCCTGTTTGCAGTTTGTTGCTCCTAGTGCGAGTTACTTCCGCTTAGATCCTTCTTAGCTTTTTTTAAACACACTGGCACACAATTACCTGATAACACCTTTTATTGTTCTGTCTCCCATATATTCTCCACCTTTGCTGTTCCTCATGCTTGGCTGCGTCTCAATTCGCAGGCTGCGTACT